TCTATTTATTTTTTTTAAACGAGGAATATTTCATTTTTTTTTTTTTTTTTAACCTTTTTTTCCCTCTTTTTCCTGTAATTAGTTGATTGCATTCTTTGTTGGTGACTTGGCTTATGTTGAAGAAACAACATCTGGAGTTCAAAATGGAGGAAAACCTGTATTAGTTCGAGTTTATACACTAAAGGGCAATGAAGAAACTGGTCGATTTGCTTTAAGTGTTGCAGTAGATTGTTTGGAATACTTTGCCGGAGGTTTGTTGTTGTTTTAATGTTCATTTATATATATAGTTGTATTTGTTGTTTTAATGTTCATTTATATATAATTGTACATTTGACAAATTTTATAAAATTTAATTTATTATAATCTTTTTTATAGTTTTCGGAATTCCTTATCCCCTCCCCAAATGTGATATGGTCGCCATACCCGACTTTGAAGCTGGTTGGTTTTACCTTTTCAAAATACAACTATTAATGTAATCATCTTTTTATAGGACATTAAAGAGGGCATAATTTGTTAATGGTCAATTTTTTTTTGTTTTTAGGTGCTATGGAAAATTGGGGTCTTATAACTTATCGCACAACCGCAGTTTTGTTTGATCCTAAGGCTTCCGACGCTAGATTTAAGCAGCGTATTGCATATACTGTATGTCATGAATTGGCACATCAGGTATTTAGTTTGTTTTTATTCTCATCTTTTTTTCTCTCTTTTTTTTTAAAAAAATTTTTATAATACTTAAACCTTAGTTTCTTTAAATTAAATTTTTATTTTAGTGGTTTGGAAATCTTGTGACCATGGAATGGTAAATATGCATTTTATTTTTTTTAAATAATTAAAAATATTTATGAAAATTATTATAAAAAAAATCATTATAAAAAAAAAAATTAAATTAATGAAAACATTAAATTTAGGTGGGATCATTTATGGCTTAACGAAGGTTTTGCTACTTGGGTGGGATATCTCGCAGTTGAAAAGATTTTTCCTGACTGGGATATTTGGACTCAGTATGTATAAAGACAATATATTTGAACCATTTATCTTAGATTTTTTTTTTTTTAAAGCGGATTGTATTTACGATGTTTTGTTAAACTTTTTTTTAATAGGTTTGTCTCAGAAGGTTTTCAACGAGGACTTAAACTTGATTCTCTTAAATCATCTCATCAAATTGAAGTGCCTGTAAATGATCCTAGGTTAGAATTCTCTTTTCAAAAAAAAAAAATACATTTTTACATTAGTTTTTATTTTATTATCTAAATTATTATCTTTTTTTTTAATATTTTTTCTAATATTTTTTCTAATAGTGAAATCAGTCAGATATTTGATGCCATCAGTTATTATAAAGGATCATCTGTTATACTCATGTTAAGCAATTATCTCGGTGAAAATGTTTTCTTAGCAGGTGTGAGACGATATCTTAAAAAACATGAATATGGAAATGCGAGTACAAATGATTTATGGGATTCTTTAGCCCAAGAAAGTGGAAGAGATATTAGTGAATTTATATCAGTATGGACTAGAAAAGTTGGAGTACGTATATATATATATATATATTTAAAAAATAGTTTTATTTAAGACATATATTCTTATTAATAAAATATCATAATATGAATAATTTATAATCACAGTATCCGGTTTTAACTGTTACAGAACCGAGTCCCGATACATTGAATATTTCTCAATCTCGTTTCCTTTCTACCGGAGTAATTGATCCGGAAGAAGATATTACAACTTGGTGGGTTCCACTCAGCATAGATGTTGGATCAGGAGATTATAAAGATTTTAGAGATGTCGTTCTAACGCAAAAAGAAAAATCCTTGAAATTACCACCACGTCAAGAAGATTTCTAACAACTTAATTCACGTAAAACTGGGGTCTATAGAGTAAATTACATTCCGGAACGTTTGGCAAAATTGGGTCAAGCAGTGAAGAAGGGTATGTTAGAAACAAGTGATCGCGTAGGATTAGTTGCTGATGCAGGAGCTTTAGCCACAAGTGGTCACGGAAAGACAAGTGGATTATTGAATCTTATTAAAGAATTTGACAAAGAAGATCAATACATGTAAGTAAATTGGGTAAAAATTTATTTATTAGTTCATATTTTACCTTTTCATTAAATTATTATTTATATATTTTAATATGCTATTTGTTTAAAGCGTATGGATGGAAATTAGCAACTGCTTGAGTGATTTGACATCTGTTTGGTTTGAGCAGCCCGATTACCAGGGTCTTTTAGCTTTCCAATGTGATTTGCTTTCTGAATTAGTCCGTAAATTGGGTTGGGAATATTCGGATGATGATGATTACTTGACTACTATGTTGAGGACATTAGTCATTAAAATTGCAGGTAAAGCCGGAGATAAGGAGTAAGTGATTCATTTGTATTTATTTTATTTTCATTTATTTATTTTTTAATGTGCACACACATATATATATCAGACAATTCTTATTAATTCTTATTTCCTCGCACCATTTTTTTTCTGTACTATACAGCGTTGTCAATGAATCACATCGTAGGTTTAAATTATTTATAAAAGGTGATGAATCCGCTTTACATCCAAACATCCGTGGAGCCGTTTATGAGATAGTATTGATTCATGGTGGAGGCGAAGAAGAATTTGAGGCCATATTGAACCTTTATAAAACCGGCAAGATTGCAGATCAAAGGATTATAATATTATCTGCACTAGGGCATGCACAACAGGAAAATCTGATCCAAAGAGCTTTGAATTTGTCGATATCTGAAGATGTTAAAAGTCAAGACATTATTTATTCTTTTATGGGGTACGCAGCCTTTTTTTTTTTTTTTTTTTTTTTTTTTTTATTTTTTTTTTTTTCCTTTTTTTTTTTTTTTTTTTTTTTTTTCTTTTTTTTTTTTTTTTCTTCTTCTTTAACTCATTAAAAAATTTAATACATTTTTGAATGTTTCTGTAGATTGTCTTG